AAAAAAAAAAAAAAGAATCTCAGATGCTCCCCTGACGGCTTCCCACAAGTTGGAGAGTATATTTAATGTAACTATCACCTGAGTCCAAAACAAAAGTCAAAATAGAAAGGAGATAAGAAACATTTTTAGGGACAAAATCAAGAGTACTCGTGATGAGCTGGGAGCAGTGGTGCATGCCTATAATCCCAATGGCTTGGGAGACTGAGGCAGGAGGACTGAGGCAGGAGTGTTATAAGTTCAAAAGCCAACCTCAGCAACTGCGTGAGACCCTGTCTCCCATTTAAAAATTAAAGGGGTTGGGGATGTGGCTCAGTGGTTAAGTGCCTCTGGGGTCAACCTCCAATACTTAAAAAAAGTTCTTGTGACTGTTTAGTTGTGACTGTTTACATGTGGGCACTGCAGAGTAAGGAAGGGAACTGGACCTTGGGAAAAGAGATCTTAGCAGAAATAAAGAGGAAAACTTGAAAATTAGAAACATGCTTTAATTCTCCTAATCTTCTTTCCCTGATTTCTCTTTGCCTCTAACATGCATCCATCCATTCAACGCATCATTACCAAGTGCACATACTTCCTGTGTTTATGTCCTCATCTGTTTTCAACCCCTCTGGTCAGACTCCATCCTTACCACTTCATGAAAACAGTCTTGCCATGGTCAGCTGCAACACCCATGCTGTCAAACACTGTGGCACTTCTCAGGCCTCATGGCTCTTGAGACTGAGCAGCATTTGAAATACCTGATGATCCTTTCTTTTTTTAAACACTCTTAGCTTCTATGATACCACTGCCTTTTGAGTTTTTCCAGCACTTCTCCTGTGCAGTTTCTGAATGCTGGTACTGGGTGTACTCTCTACAAGGTTCTCCTAGTGATCTCACCTGCCCATATGGTTTTATGATCTAGACGGTGATGATGATACGTGTATGGATTTATTTCTCAGTCATCAGTCACACCTCTGAATGCCAAATCCTTATCCAAGTGACTATGGATTCTTTGACTTCAGTGTCTCTTGGGTAAGTCACACTTACTATGTCCAAAATATTAATTTATTTCCAATCTTCTTACAAAGACCTTCCAGGCCCTGCCCACCTGTCCAACCTCATTCACTAACCTTAATCACAATGTTTTAGTTAGGTCCTAGTGAAAGCCAGGATCAATCTTCCCTGTTCATTTTGCACATGCTTCTGCCTGGAACACTTAAAAATCTTTCTTGAGGGGCTGTGGATGTAGCTCAGTAGCATAGTACCTGCCTGCTTGCCTAGCTTCCATAAGGTCCTAGGTTCAATTCCCAGCACCACAAAATAGAAGAAAACAACAACAAAAAAAATTTCCCTAATCTACAGAAACCCCACACTATTCTAGTCTCGATCACAGCACTAAACCTCATCTGTTAACTATTTAGTGTATTGTTTGTCTCCTAAACTAGAAAACAGATCCAAGAGGGCAGGGATCTTATCTGCTGTGTCCCTTATTCCAGCACCTGACAAAGGGTCTGGCGCAAAGGGAGCGACCAATGCTTTTGAATGAATGCAAAAACAAATGCATGAACGCTAAGCAAGAGCTTCCCAATGCCTCCATGAAACTAATTTCTAATCCAAGGAAATCCTTTTAATGGAAACACAGGAGCCCAGGAACCAGCAGCTGGGTGGCCCGCGCGCCCCAGACGCCGGCCGACTCGCGTCCTGATTGGCCGAGCGCTCCCGCCCGGGCCTCCCTTCCCCTCCCTGCCGCCCCGCGCCCGCCCCGCGCCCGCCTCTGCCGGAGCCCGCGGACCGAGAACCGGGCTGAGCGGGTCCACACTCCCTCTCGGAACCGCCCGCCGCCTGCCCACCCGGACCGCCGCTCCGCGCCGGGCCTTGTCCGCCAGGCCTCACCTGGGCCTGGGGGTCCCATCTCGCCTCCAGCGTCTCCGGAACTGGGTTTAAATTGCGCGCGCTGAAACGCCCAGCGCCCAAACGGCCGTGTGACGTCACTAATGGGCGGGGTCTGCGCCTGCGCCTGCGCACACCGCTTTGGTCCGTCACCGAAAAGGGTGTCCGCGGGCTATAAGGGATCGCGGCCACCTGAGTTGGCAGCCGGTGGCCAGCGCCCTGTGAGTGGACGTCAGGCGGTCCGCATGAGAACCTTCTCCTCCCCAGCGCTAGTTCGAACTGGGCACCGAGGAGCCAGCGTCGAGCAGGGCGGACACGGGCTTTGTAATGGGGAGGGGGATGACGGTCTCCTAGGAGACCTGTGCTGAGACCAGCAGAGGCAGAGAAGGGATAGAGCAGCTGTGGGACCGAAGTGAGAGGGACCCTATGAGGCGCTTTCCAAGCAGGGAAAGGACGGAGGCAAAATGGGTGTGTAGAAAATGAAGGTCGTCGTTTTAATTCAGATTAAATCTTCCTGGAGGGCTGGGGTTGTGGCTCAGTGGTGCAGCGCTTGCCTAGCACGTGTGAGGAGGCACTGGGTGCAATCCCCAGCACCCCATAAAAATAAATAAATAAAATAAAAAGGTATTGTAACGTCTACAACGAAAAAATATTTTAAAAGAAAAAAATTCCTGGAAACCATCTTCTACCCACCCCACCCCCCTACAAAAAGGTTGGAGAGCTGGAGTGTAGCTCAGTGGTAGAGCTTGTGCTTAATTAGCATCAAGGCCCTGGGTTCAAACCCCAGCAACGGGGAAAGAAAAAAAAGTTGGAAAAGTTAACTGAGCTTAGTATAAAATGCCACATGTCCATTGAACTTCATCGAACCTCAAGAATAATACCCAAGAATGGTATTATAGGAGGAAAGATGGGACAATTCCCTCAGATATCCATAGAACACCCTGTAACTTTTCTTGGGGAACAGGGAGAGGAATGTGCTGGGGATTGAACCCAAGAGCGCTTTACCACTAAGCTACATCCCCTGTCACAGGGCTTTACCAAGTTGCTGACCTGGACTTGAACTTGCCATCCTCCTGCCTCAACCTCCTCAGTCCCTGGATTACACCTGGACACCTAACCTATAATTTCTGATGAATCACACATATGGTGTCTTTTAGTATGTTTCTCCTCAAGGCTGCTAGTGGCACTCAGAGTGCAACAATTCTTGACTCGGGCACCCCTTACCTTCACTGTAGAACTGCTGAGCATCCCTGACACCATTTGCCCACTAAATGCCATCTTGCCTCTCAATCCTTTTGACAACAAAAAACGCCGCACTTTGTCAAAAGTCACTTTTAAAACTATTTGGTTTTTGTATGCCAGTGACCACTTTCAAATTTAGGCAGTGTGAGATAAGCAAAGAAAAGTTGACAGTGTTCTTCACCTTGTGGATGCCAGAGTCAGCACCCAAGAGTCATCCTGGATGTTGCCCACTTTCTACACAATCCATTATCCAGCTTTCATCTCCTAAAAATCTCTTTCAGTATTGGCCTTTCTCCTTTTCATCCACATGACCTTCTTGCTGCCCTACTCTGGCCTCCTCATTGAGCCCAGAGTGGTGTTTGCCAAGTATAAATCTGATCTGTCACTCCCACTTATTCCCCACCACTTCCAGAAGTCTAAAACCCTTGAAAGGGTCCATTGTCCTGGGAACTTCTGCAGGGGCCTCCAGGCCCTGCAGGGTCTGGCCCCCATGGCCTCCCAGCCCCATCTTGAACCTTGCCTTCCTTGGTCCCTACCCTCCAGCCAACTGGGCCTTCTTTCAGACTTGCCCTCCCCATGCCCGCCTCACTTCGGGCCTCCGTACATGCATTCTCCTCCTTTAACAACCTCATCCTCACCTTCACCCAGTTAGCTGTTAGGTTTCAGCTCCTGTCACTTTCTCATGGAGGCCTTCCCTAATACTCAAATCTCCTTACTGGAGGCTTCAAGAGAATAGTCCACATTGCAGTTTCCATGTGCTGGGTGACTTTCTTGTCTGTCCCCTCCAGACTGTCAACTCCATGGGGACAAATCAGTCTTTGTTCACCATTGTTTTCCCAGGGCTTAATGCTAACCTAACCCAGCAAGTATTTAAATGGGTATTGAATGAACCTAGTGGGACAAGTTTAAATCCTGGATTGAGGCCCTGGGTTTACCCCCTGGGCATGAGTGCCATCCTGGGTTGGGCATGTGAACCTCTCTGGACACCATTTCTTCCCAGTCTATAAAATGGGGATGATCCCCCTTCACTAGATACTATGAAGAATTAGGTAATAGAGTCAACTCTGTGAGCATGTGGGCTCAGTATGTACTAGGGTCCCTGTTATGTCCTTTGCTTAACTGGTTCTCTCTGCTGAGCACACTTGAGGAAATAGTTGTAATCTTCAGGATGTGGGGCTGGGAGGGTGATAGGTGGCACTGTGGAACTAGCTTAGCGTTCTGGAGAGCAGGCTCTTGGTAGCCCACTAGGTGAGGCTGAGGCTGTTCTTGGTGATAATGGAGCCTCCGAAGCTGACTGCTTGGGGCTGGGTGCAGGGGGCAGAGCCAGCTTCATCCCAGGTCTCTGTGGGGCAGACACACCCCATGCAAGCAGGTCTTTCTTCCTGCTCTGAATGCTGTCTTTGTTTTGGAGTTAGGGCTATTGAAGGTGCCAAAAGATTGCAAGATTTATCAGCAGTATGCAAAGCTCAGTTCCTCTGTATAAAAGTGGCAGGCCCCTCCCCTCACTTGCAAGCTGCCAGAAAAGCAATGCTGGCGCCAGCCCTCTCCCACATTGTGCTCCTCTCTGAGATTCCCCCAAATACATGGACAGCAGCCTAAGTTTAGGTGAAGAACAGTGGAGTATCAACTGGCTACCTGAACAAGCTACCTTTTGGCTTCAAATTTGCTCTAACCAGCTGGGCCCTGTGGCACAGACCTGTAATCCAGCTACTGGGGAGGTTGAGGCAAGAGGAGCATAAGTTTGAGGCCAGCCTCAGCAACTTACTGAGACCCTGTCTCAAAAAGTAAAAAGGTCGGGCTGGGATTGTAGCTCAGCGGTAGAGCTCTTGCCTAGCAGGGGCGGGACCCAGGTTCCATCCTCAGCACCACATAAAAATAAAGGCATTGTGGGCTGGGGATGTGGCTGAAAGGGTAGCACGCTCGCCTGCCATGCGTGCGGCCCGGGTTCGATCCTCAGCACCACATACAAAGATGTTGTGTCCGCCAAATGCTAAAAAATAAATATTAAAAATTCTATCTCTCCCTCTCTCTCATTCTCTCTCACTCTTTCTAAAAATAAATAAATTAAATAAAGGCATTGTGTTGTGTCCATCTACACCTAAAAAATATAAAAAAAAGTAAAAAGGTCTAGTGATGTAAATCAGGGTAGAGGGCCCCTGAGTTCAATCCCCCCATACTAAAAAGAAGTTTGTGCTGCCTTTCCATCCTGCAGCTGACTTATATCACAATGTAGTTCCTGATTTAAACCATCAAGCACTGGAATATACATATAGTAGAAATGGCTTAGCATTCATTTTGGCCTCTTTGCAAATGCCTTTAATTTTTGTATGCCATATGAAACTCCTGACCTCCTAAGACTGGACTAAGAATCAACAATTTCTGTCTTCTAGAATTTCCAAACAGAACTATAACTCTCTTTATCTTAAAGTTAACATGGCACTTTTTTCTTTTCAAATCACTTTAACCCCTAAACCTTGTTTCATTCCAAAACCACTGAAAGCTTGTAAGGACAGGTACTTTCAAGACTCTGCCACCTCCTGAGCTATGTGACCTTGGGAAAGTTGCATGCCTCGGTTTCCTCATATGTAAAATAGAGGGGATAAAGGACCTGCTTAGTGGGGTCCTAATGTGAGGATTAAATGAATTACCAGATGTAAAGCAGAACAGTGCCCCGACCACTAGGTCAGGGCCAAGCTGTCCCATTAACTAGAAATGCTGTTGTATCCTGGGGCTTGCCAGGTTTTGTTTCAGAATAAAGCTTAGCTTCCTAACTATCTGCAGAGGTTTCCCCTTTAATTGTGAAAGTATTCCCAGAGCACTGCGGGTCTGTTCTTTTCATTACTACTTGTTTTTGTTTTTTTTTGTTTCATGTACTCTTTCTTGTACCTTCTGCCCCACCCAAGTTTTGCTGACTGATCCCTTTGTAATTGCCTGCCCACTCATAAATTCATATTTTTCTTGTCTCCTGTTAGACTAGAAACAGCCATGTAGACCTAAAGATCGCACCTTCTTTCTACCTGGGTAGACTTCTAGTGCTTACATTGTTTGTAGCCACTAATATCTTTTAATGTCATTGATATTTTGGTTTGGGCACCATGAAAATTAATAACCTAGATGTTCCTTACCATTTGAGTTACTCTTTCCTGGCTACTGGCCATGCCACTGGGAAACCACAGGGCAGACTGGTTTAAGGTACATTGAGAAATACCAGGATATATGATGGAGCTGTCAGTAACATGAACTTCTTGGGAACAGACATGTAAGAATGCTGATCTGCTGAATGTATTATTGCAGATTTCAGTTTATACCGAAAATAGCCTCCTTATTGATTCGGAACTAAAACACCAGCAAAGATTTTTCTCAACAAAAAAAATATACAGATGTTTTAAAAATACCAAGATCCCACTGACAGAATCAATCATCACTGCTTCTTACCTTGAAACCTGTACCTGGCAGATGCCAGCAGGTGACATGGGAGCAGAATAGCTTCTGCTGTGCAGCAAGAGTCCCAAATATTGACTGATATTGGTTTCTGGGATATTTAATTTATTTTTCCTGGAGTGGAAGAAAGTGTGGAGGTCTTAACACAAGTCCTAAAAGCTGGCATCTCACCCCCACCAAGACCAAGTTGAATGTGGGGCCAGAAACTCTTCCCAACAGATCTTCCCTGGCCGTGCTGGGCAGGAACAGCTTAACCTTTCCACAACAACCACACCCACCACTACTTCTTAATGCCCCTCCTCAGGGTGCTCAAGGTTTTGAAAGGAGGGGAAAATACACCAACCATATCTCTTAGAATCAGGATTCTGTTGGAGTTGAACTGCTTCACAGTCCCTTCCTGTCCAGCCCTGGCAGTGGGCCTGGATTGTGATATCCCCCTTTTCAAAACCACAAACATACTTCAAGTAATCCCTTTGTCATCTTTGATGAAAACACAAAGGCATGACCAGAAAATTCCAGCTACACATGGTAGCTAAACCTTCGCATAGAACACACAAGTGGCTTCTCCTCAGAAACAAGTAATTGATAATTACAGAAAGATTGCCCTCAGCCTTTAGAATGTCCCGGAGCGGTTTTAAAATGTTGCTTCCAGGCCCAGGAAAGGTCATAAAATGTTGGCGCTTTAATAAAATATAGGAAATACATTATCTCAGTTATGGGACAAGTCACCATTGACTGAATATTTGTGAGTCAATGCTAAAATGATTTGGGCAGTACTGGAGTTTCTCTCAGTTCACAAAACAAACTATAATGTCATGAATATAGGGTTCATTAAGAAAATGGAAAAAAACATTTTGATTATATTTTCAACACAGCAAAGGTCTGAAAAATCAGATCGCAAAGTATGAGAAGCTGCCATCACAGTATTTGGGATAAGGTGGAGTCCCCTGGGAGGGAAATCCAGCTACTAGTTCAACAGGGACCCAGTTCACAAGGAACGTGTGGGAACCATTCACAAAAAGAGGAGGCTGGGATGGAGGTATTCTCTGGTTCTCCTTTGCTTCCAGTGTTGGTACAGAAACACAACTTCACAGGATCTCAGCTCCTTAGCTACAAGATCCTCCTGTAACATCCAGTTCCCTGGCCCTTCTTTGGGTCATGATGAAAGCTAAGTCAGGAGAAGACCTCAGCCCCCCCCTAGATTAGACCCTGCAGGCTGCATCTATCTCAGGACTCTATCCACAGCCCCCACTGGCAAGGTGAAGGTCACCTACGTATACACCAGTGATATATGTGGAAAGATAAACTCTTTAGCAGCCTGAGGAATTAGAAATACCTTCTTCCATTTTTGTGTTTTTTTTTTTTTAATAGCCTTTACATTAAGGTGCCCCAGCCAATGGGGCACAGGGCAGCGTTTTCACCTGGGTCAGAAGGTTGTGGAACTCTTCCACCGCCTGCTTGTGCGCCATGGGGTTCAGCACCAGGTGCTGGAAGAGATTGACAGGCTCAGCGTTCCGAAACGTTTTCGGGATGGGGATGGTCAGGGGCAGGAAGTTGTTACCAATGAGGAAATGATTGAGGGACCTTTGCTGGAGGCCACGGCCCAGGAACCAGAGGAGGTCCTGCAGCCTCTGAGAAAGCATGCTCTGCTGCCAGTCTGTCAGGGGCAGCCGCAGCAACAGGTGCATAAGTGCCGTTTTGAAGTGGTAGGGGGTTAGGATGGGGTGGGATGCCCCAGGGGGCAAGCTCTGGTGGTCCTGGAGACTCAAAATAATCTGTAGGCACTTGAGGTGACAGGTGTTCTCAGGGGCAAAGCGCCCTACCAGCTTCAAGAACAAGTGCTCACAGGCTGCAAAGGACTCTGGCCAGTCCACACTGGTGAGCTGCTCCTGCTCGGAGGCTTGACTCACCAGGTAGACCAAGGTATCTTCCCGCTGCACCCCCAAGATCAAGCTGATTGACAGAAAGCGGCCTGAGCGGTAATCCAGCCTGATCTTACAGGAGGTGGTAGACGGTGGCAGACTGAGTTTAAAGTCATACTTATGGGCCACCAGGGCCCAGGCATTGCCCACCATGTTCCGGAACCACTGCACAGTCTTGCACACATCCAGGTGCCTGCCAGTGCAGAGAGTTGCCTTAATGGAACTGCTACACTTTCCCAAGGCCACTGAGTGATCCTTGTGGTGGTGGACAAGGCACAGCACGTCCCCCAGGAGCTTCTCACGCTTGCACACACATTCAGACTCCACCAATACACAGCCACAGCGACGGCCAAGCGCCGGATCCCTCATCTCCAGCACAAACATGGTACCCTCTGGGGGAACGATGGGCACAAGGATATCAAATTTCTGGGTTTCATGGAGGGTTCCCCACTTCTCGAAGGCAGCCCCAATGCCCAGGCAGTCCTCCAACTGTGGGTGAGCCTCCCGGCGGCTGAGTGCCCGACAGGCCTCAATGAGATCATCCACAAAGCTCTCCACGAACTCGCAGGTGGATGGCAGGTCCCGGATAGCATTTTGGATATAGTGTTTGTAAAAGGATTCCAGGGTATCCTGGGAGGGGAAGTCGGTGAGCCAGTTGTAAGAAGTGACAGGCACAACACGCACTTCCTCCTCCTCATCGCTGCTGGACTCAAAGGCTGGTTCATGCTGCATGTTCTGTCGCAGGAACTCAAAGATGAGAAAAAGGCAAAAGAGGCCAGCATTCCACAGGTTCCCCAGCAGCCAGCCCCAAGGACCCTCCTGGCCGTTGGCCTGGAATGGCCACCCCGCAGTTTTCTTCCCCAGCACTAACTGATCACTGGGCGTATCTCCTCTCCAAAAGCTCTCTGCCCTCTGCTTCTGCTCGGCCGCTCGCTTTCTGTCTTCAAACTCTGTCTCTAACTGCCGCATCTCCTCGCTCATTCGCTTTTCCATCTGCCGACTCCTGGCAAGTGTGTCCAGGTCCATGCGGTCACTGACCATCAGGGGGTGGTGTACAATATACATGACTGCCAAGAACAGCAGGCTTATCACAGCCATGGAGGCCTCTGCATCTGGAGAAGTGGGAGGATGGGAGTCAGTGATGATCTTCCAGAGGCATCTCTCTCCAGCGCATGCTCCCCAGAGCCCTGGTAACCCCAAATCCTGGAAGTCAACTACTCAGGAGGAACAGAAAGCTCACAGAGCCAGGCTTGGACAGAGCAAGGGTGGTCTGCCTGGGAAGAGGTTTGGGAGAAAGGGGGACAGCAGGATGTGCCATTCAGTCTCTCTGCTGCTTTCCTTCCACATGATGGGGGTGGTATTTAGGCTTCCGGTGGGCAGACAAGGGACTGTTTCATTCCAATGTAGGATGGGGAGGGGGACCCTTGTGGTGGGGTGGCCTCACCCAACTACTCATCAGTCCACCTTGGGCACCAGAGATGCCCTGCTGATCCTAGAGGCTCCCTTCCACAGACAGAGGGCCCTGAGTCGGCCTGGCCACACCTTCCCTCCTGCAGCCTGAGGCCCCAGCTGTAGCATCCCACTTCCTCTGTGACTTCACAATGCTCCTGCTGCTCACCCTGTATCATCTGACCACTCAGCCTCACCCTTTGACCCACTGGGCACCTGGAGACCCAATGCTACCAGCTCTTTGCTGCTGTGCCCTCTGAGGTCCCCAGAGGGGCTGCCAGATGCCCCATCAGTGCAGCTCCACTGCTCAGTCCAGGAAACAGGCTCAAGGCCCTGACAGCCAGCCCGGGTAGGTTCCCCTGCCTTCCCACCCAACACCCAAGCCCAAGAGCTAAGGGACTTACCAGATTCATGAAGATCTGTGCCTCCCAGGTGCCTAGGACGCCGAAGCCAGGTGCGGGGGCCCTCTTCCCTTGGGCACTTGGCCTCGCTTTTCTCACCACCCTTTCCAGGAGCCCTGAAAAACTTACAGGTTATCTGGGGGCTCTGAGCCAAAGTGGAGCCCTCCGACCATTGATGGCTTCTCCAAATCCACGCCCAGAGAATTGTGTGATCGACCTCTCGGAACTAGACGGAGGACCCATCCCTTCCCTGGGTTTCAGCCGGGACCTGGGGCCAGGTTGCTCACCGTCGTCGGTGTCAGCAGGAACACGGTCTTAAAGAGGCAGGGCGCCTCCACCGCCGCTGCCTTCTTCCTGGCGGGGTGTGGGCTCCCGATTCACCTCCCGGACCACATGCCGGAGAGGTCCCGCTCCGCGCTCCCGGCGCACTGACCATGCCTGTCCGAGCGTCCGCGAGTCTGCGCACGGCGGGCGCGGGCCACCCCAGCCCTGCCCAGCCCTGCCGAGCGGGCTCCGAGGGCGCCGGCCCGCCGCAGCCGCTCCCGCCGCCGGCTCCGCCCCGCCCAGCCCTGCGAGCTGCTCCCCGCCCAGGCCCGGGCCCGCGCCCGCGCCCGGGGATCTCCGCCGGCGCACGAGCTCAGTCGGCCGGCTCCGGGGGCTGGGGGACAGCTGGCGGACAGCTGGGGGACAGCAGAGGGTCTGCAGCGCCGCCCGCTGCCGCTTGGCCTCCCTAGGTGGCCAGCGGGCACTGGACGGTCCGCAGCCAGACTCACTCTGCTCAGTTCCCGGAGTGTAACTCGCTGGGAGTTAGGGGTGAGGACGGTGGTGGCGAAGCTGCGGATTGACGGGGAAAGCCATTCTCGCTCCGGCCAGGCTCTGAGTAAAGCAGGACGGGAGATGGTGTTTTCAACTCCCAGCCCACGCCAGGCGCAGGTGTCTTTCCCCAGCCCCTTTCTCTTTCAAAGTGACTCTCAAGGAAGGACTAGAGAGCCCTGGTCTGGTCCTTTCGTGAGAGGCACTTTGAAGCTTGCCACTCTAGCCATCTTGGAGGAGGAAGCCTAAACCAAGCCCACGTGGGCAGTGGCCCACGTCTGTAATCCCAGATACTTGGAAGACTGAGGCAGGAGGATCACAAGTTTGAGGCCAGCAACATAGCCAGATACTCTCTTGGGAGAGGAGAGAGAGAGAGAGAGAGAGAGAGAAGGCATGTAACAGTAGGTAGTACAAATTACACCATCATGTATACCTATGATGCACGAATAAAACAAGGAAACAAAATAAAAAGGAAAAGGACAGGGGATGTAGCTCAGTTGCAGAGGATTTACCTAGCATGTGTGAGGCCCTGGGTTCAATCTCCAGCACTAGAGAGGAAAAAAGAATCCTAAACCTAGGGGCAGCTCTGCTGATGATACAATTATATAAAAGAATGTAATAAAGTATGGAGGCTTGGACACGCTATATCACTCATTAAGAAATGCCAACAGGCTGCTCCAGGTGGCCCACACCTGTAATCACAATGGATCAGGAGGCTGAAGCAGGAGAATGTCTCAAAAAAGGCAGGGGTGGGGGCTGGGGTTGTGGCTTAGGGGTACAGCCCTTTCCTGGCAGTAGTAAGGCACCAGGTTCCACCCTCAGCACCACATAAAAATGAAAGTACTGTGTCCATTCACAACTAAAAAAAAAAATTTTTTTTAAAGATGGAGGATGTGGCTCAGTGGTTAAATGCCCTTGGGTTCAATCCCTGGTACCAAAAACAAATATATACATAAAAACATACCTACATACAGAAAGGAAAAAAAGAAACCTCCATGGGCAACAGGGCTGGGGACTTGTGTAGTGACAGAGCACTTGCCCAGCATACTCAAGGCCCTGGATTTGCAAACCCAGTAAAGGGGTGTGTGTGGTGGGGATCCATGATGAATTTCCTTAAATGGATTTGCAGAGTATCAGAAAAAACCCTCAGTCTTCCTGTCCTTTGTCAGCTGTCTGAGGAGCAAAGGAAATGATGACCACTATATACTAACTGAAACCAATCAGCTGAAAGACAGGTCAAGTTCCAAGTCTCGTTATCCCGGGCAATGCAGAGGGAACCTCCACACAACTTGGATAGAATTTCCAGAACTACTGACTTATCTAATTGTGGATCAGGGGCTGGGGATGTGGCTAAAGCAGTATGGCGCTCACCTGGCATGCGTGCGGCCCAGGTTTGATCCTCAGCACCACATACAAACAAAGATGTTGTGTCCGCCGAGAACTGAAAAATAAATATTAAAAAATTCTCTCTCTCTCCCTCTTTAAAAAAAAAAAAACTTTAAAAAAACAGAACAAAACTGTGGATCAGGATAGACCCTGCTGTTTGACATGACTGAAGTTCCAAAGTTCACTTTTTTCTAAACTTGAATGTTGAAGCATGGATTAACACATCATTACTGAGCAGTACTGTGGAAATTCTGTTATCTTTGCAATTATGACATGACAGTGTTGGGATGACACATTTCATAGTGTCAATAACAATAATTTTTAAAACATGTTTAAAAATGTGGGCTGGGGCTGGGGCTCAGTGGTAGAGCGTTTGCCTACCTTGTGTGAGGCACTGGGTTTGATTCTCAGCACCACATTTAAATAAATTAATAAAGTAAAGGTCCATTGACAATTTAAAAAATATTTTTTTAAAAAAAATGTGTGTTCGGGCTGGGGTTGTGGCTCAGCAGTATCACGCTTGCCTAGCACATGTGAGGCCCTGGGTTTGATCCTCAGCACCACATAAAAATAAATAAAATAAAGGTATTATGTCCAACTACAACTAAAAAGTAAAATATCAAAAAAAAAATTAAAAATGTGTGTTCAGCCAGATATACTAGTGCACACCTTAATTCCAGTGACTTGGGAAGCTGAGGCAAAAGGATCGATCACAAGTTTGAGGCCAGCCTCAACAACTTAGCAAGACCTCTTAAAAGAAAAGATAAAAATGGCTGAGGAGGGCTGGGGTTTGGCTCAGGGGTAGAGGGCTCGCCTGGTGTGTGCCATGCCCTGGGTTCGATCCTTAGCACCACATAATAATAAATAAAACAAAGGTATTGTGACCAATTACAACTAAAAAAATAAATATTAAAAAAAGTGGCTGGGGATATAGCTCAATGGTTAAAACACCCAGGGTTCAATCCCCAATACAGGGGGGAAAGAGGGGCAGGGGAGAAGAGATGAAGTTGGCTGCTATACCGAATTAATGATTCTAAGCTAGAAAACTAATTCACTTAAATATCATACTTAAATTTTTAAAAAAGCCCTCTAGCAGCAGAGATTTCTTATCTTGTTCTTTGGTGTTTTTTTCTTCTTTAGCCTGACGTGAAGCAACTGTTGGCTTACTCAGTGAGATAATAGAATAATTTGGACTCATGTGTGCTGATGGGTGATTGTACGCACATGCCACATGAGAGTGACCCTTGACAATGGTCATTCTAACACTTTCATTCACTGTGGTGGCTATCTACCCTTGTTAAGCAAGGAAATATGGTAGTTTTCCCCCAAATAAATTTATTTGCATCATTTTAAAAAGTAAGTGCAGAGTTGAGGTGTAGTTCATGGTACAGTGCTTCCCTTGTGTGCATCCTGGACTCAGTACCCAATACTACCAAAAAAAAAAAAAGTAAGAACATTAAAGGGTGCCCAGAAAGTCCCTGTGTAATAGCCTTGTTTCTGTTGGCCTGCAAAATCTAAAATTTTTGAAAACTATAAGTCTTTTTGAGTGAGAACAGTTGTTCAAATACTAGATAATATTGGAACATCAAAAATCAATTTAGAACAGAAGGCTAATAATGTTCCTAAGCTCTTGATTAGTGAAAAGATGTTATAGATACTGCTCAATTGTTGCTACTTATTCCAGGAGACTGTACAGAGTTTTCAGTTAATGAAGAATCAGACATGCCCAGTTATCCCACTCCTCAGTTTATACCTAAGGACTTAAAATCAGCATACTACATAATGTAGCCACATCAATGTTTATAACAGCTCAATTTGCAATAGTTGAACTTTGGGAACCAACCTAGGGTGCCCTTCACCAGATGAATGGATAAAGAAAATGTGGTACATTTACACAATGAAATATTACTCAGCTGTAAAGAAATTATGGCATTTGCTGGTAAATGGATGGAACTAGAGACTATCATGATAAGTGAAATAAGCCAACCCCCCAAAAAACCAAAGTCCTAATATTTTCTCTGATATGCAGATGCTGACTCACAATGGGGTGGGTAAAGAAGAATAGATGTTCAGTGGATTAGACAAAGGAGAATGAAGGGAAGGGAGGGGTGGGAATAGGAAAAAATAGTAGAATTAATCAGACATAGCTTTCCTATGTGCATATATGATTAAACGATCGATGTAATTCTACGTCATGTACAACCAGAAGAATGAGAAGTTATACTCCATATATGTATAATATGTCAAAATACATTCTACTTTCATGATAACTAATAAGAACAACAAAAAAAAAACCACAATAAAATAAAATTTAAAAAAAGACTGACCACACCAAGTGTTGAAAGGATGTGGAAAACTAGAGATCTAAAACCCTGGGAGTAACATAGTCACACTGGAAAACAATTTGACACATTTTTAAAAGAAAAAAAGAATTGGACACGAATAATGTGGATGAAATGATTAAGGCTAGGATATTTCAAAGAGGTTGAAAATACACCACTTCAGTACGACCTGAGGCGGAACCTACTGCATGTGTTGCAACTGAAAATTTATGTGGAGCAGAAAAAGGATTAGATGGAAAATTTACAAAGATTGTGAAAATGTAAGGCATTTAAAACCTACAGTGCACTGGGCAGACACCTGTAATCCCAGAGGTTCATGAAGCTGAGGCAGGAGGATCACAAGTTCAAAGCCAGCC